TTACAGATGTGCACCACCAGGCCCGGCATGTTATCATTATGTATATCTAAAATGTACCAATAAAATTAACTTTAAAAATAATTAAAAATTTTAGAGCCTGGTGTGGCGGAGCATGCCTGTAATCCCAGCACTCTGGGTGGCTGAAGAAGGAAGGTTACAAGTTTGAGGTCAGCCTGGGCAAAAAAAGTCTTGGGAGGTAGTTTAGTGTGAAGGTCCTGGGTTCAATCCCCAGGACCACCCAAATAAATAAGTAATTTTGTTTTGCTTATTTGCTGTTTCTGAGTCTCTAAAGAAAGTATGTGTTACCTGTGAAATAGAAAGGGATTTTAGGAAGCCCTAAGGGAGTTCAGAGCAGAAACAGGTTACTTCCAGCGAGAGTGGAGAGGACAGCCAAGGTGAGGACACTGAAGGTGAAGGCAGCATGGGCCACAGATGGCCTGGAGAGACGGTGGATTTCACAGAGAGAACCACAGTCAACAAATTTGAAATAGAAAAGACACATAGTAGCTGCTGGAAAGAAAACTCAGCTTGTTTGGAGAAGAGCCGAGGAAGCCAGGATAACAAAGGTTGGCTGTGAACCCTCAGATGCCAACTGACCAGAACAGCATTTCAGAGCTGAGGTGTCCCTGGCTTGGACTAGAATGCACACAGACTAGGGCTGGAAGTCTCAGGAGGCAAGGCTTTCTTAAGGGGGTTAGGGGCTAAGTCATCAAGAGATACAGGCAAAGCCAAGGGTGGTGGCCTCCGCTTGTAATCCCAGACCTCAGGAGGCTGAGACAGGAGGATTGCCAAGAGTTTCAGGCCAGCCTGGGCTAAGTAGTGAGACCCGGTCTCAAAAGAAACAAACAAAAAAACAACAAAAACTAACAAGAGATATACAGGCAGAGGAGAATTTTGGCAGACTTTGGAGATATGAACTGTGGTAGCCCAGGCATCAGCATTCAGCTTCAGGACAGTTTAAGTTCCTCACAAGGGCCCCACAGGAAGGTGATGGGTACGAACGCAGGAAACAGGCACTAGTAAACGGGTAGTCCCCCAGGAAGGAAAGGCTAAGTTTTACAGCAAGGGGATGGCACAGCAGGGCCTGCCCTTCCAAGGAAGCCTGAATTCCTATGGAGAACACAGCATGCAGGGAGGTGGCGGGTGGAGGAGAAAAGAGCAAGAAACCTGGTACAGACTAAGCAATCATACCGGGAACGGTGGTGAAGAGGATTCTAAATCAGCACTTTTTTTTTTTTGTCATTATCTTTTTTTTTGTACCAGGGATTGAACTCCAGTCCTTGTACTTGCGAAGCAGGAGGCAGAAACACTGAGCTAAACCCCTGGCCCACTGTCATTATCTTTTGAGGCAGAAATTTCTTGTAAATTATAAAAAGAGGCTGTGCTTTTTCTAGAAAATTGTGGACACGATACCCTAACTGATAGTATAAATATGTAGATAAACCTATTTCCTTTTTTGGCTTTGAAAATATTTGGAGTCAAGTCACTGTAGAGAAGTTCTGAAAAAGGCGTAAGTTGTAAGTTAGTGCCAGAGTGGAATTGTCTTTCATCCTTTTTTTGAGACAGAGTCTCCCTATGTAGTTCAGGTTGGCCTCAAACTCAAGGTAATCCTGCCTCAGCCTCCTGAGGGCTGGGATTACAGGAATATGCCACCACGCTGGGTTTTTAACCTTTTTGTAGTGTTGCAGATGGAACCCAGGGGGCTTTGGTCATGCCAGGCATGCGCTCTACCATAAAGTCACAACTCAGACCCTGCTAAGAAGACCGGGATTTCTTTCACTGCTTCCACTTTTTCATTGTTGTTCTTTGAGACAAGGTCTTGCTATGAAATCCAGGCCAGGCTTGAACTCATCATGTAGCCCAGGCTGGCCTCAAACTCACAATCCTCCCGAGTGCCACTCTGACAGGTGTGGTCCTGCCTTCCACGGTCTGTACCACTTTTTTTTTTTGTACTGGGGATTGATCTCGGGTCCTTGTGCTTACAAGGCGGGTGGTGGAACCACTGAGCTAAATCTCCGGCCCTCACTGTCTCTACTGTCATCAAACATTATTTCATAACTCTAGGTCTATCTTTTAGGCCTATGTAGATCCTCACTTTAGTCTTTCTTCTAGAGTCAGAAGTCAGAGGTCTTCCTTGCCTTATTACTTCCACTGGTGGCAACGGCACCTATGACTGTGTTTATGCCTCATTCCGGCAAAACTTTTAATTTTAAGGAATTGAAGTACCCAGGGATTGCTGACCCTCCCAATTCTTACCTCCATGCAGTGCAGTGTTAGGTGATTTCCCCTCTTCCCATGCCCAAGTCCCGGCTCTCCACTCCTCTCTCAAGCCTGACTCTTCATTGGTCAACTTATGTGCAGGGGCTCAATTATGATTTCAAATATTCAGTTCCAAAATTCTATGACCCTGACTCAGTAACAAGTACAATTTGTTAATCAGTGTAATTAATTCCCCAGGTTTCAGGATACGGGTCTATGGATGAAGTTTCTAGTTGATAAGATGGTTGGAAATATCACACAAAGTTAAAAAAATTTGTCCCAACTCCTAGTATGGAAAATAAACATTTTTAGATATTTCTTACTCTCCAAATTTATGTAATAGTATGCTCCCTAAATTTAACTTTCTGCATATATATAATATATATATATTATATTATATATATATTACTTTCAAGACGCTTTGTAACATTGGGGCTTAAGTTAACTGAAGTTATTCTTGAATAATCAAGCTAACGCTGAAGATTTTCTTGAGGTGTTCAAGGTTGACTGAATTGATAAACTTGCCAAGCACTGGCCATAGCTCACTTTACGATTTGCACGGCTAACCTATTTTATTTTTTATAAATTTTATTTTATTCCATTCCCCCCCTCAAGCCCCCTCCCCATGTACAAAAGCTGTTTCCATTTTTTTTCTATTTTCACTTTTTTTTGTTGCTTCCTTTATCCTATTTTTTGATTTTTTTTTTTTTGAGACAGGGTCGCACTATGTAGGTGAGACTGATCTGGAACTCACTATGTAGTCCAATCTGGTCTCGAACTCACAGCGATCCTCGGGGCTCAGCCTCCTGAGTGCTGGGATTACAGGCGTGTGCCATCTTTATCCTATTTTAGAATTGTTTATATAGGTATTTTGGTTGTTTTTTGAGAGTGGGTCTTGCTTGGTAGCTCAGGCTGGCCTAGAACTTGCAGCAATTGTCTTGCCTCAGCCTCCTGAGGGCGTGTGCCACCACACTCAGCCTAAATTGTTGATATTATAAAATATTTGCAACTAGGGGGGTCAATGATTTAGAAGGTAATAAGGTTTAAGAACTAAGACTAAGAAGAGCAGAGAATCCAATAGAAGAGTAGGTATTTTGGAGAAGGCAGCACCTTCAGAAAGGAAACTTTCGGAAAGCTTGGGAAAGAATGTAGGACAAATCCTTAAAGAACAAAGACTAAAACATGATGACCGGATCTGCCGGAAAGACTCATTTTAACTACGTATCAAGTGCACTTTCTGGTGATAGCGGGGTTGTGTGCAAAAATGTAGCTTTTACTACTGTCACAATCCGAGTTCCTGGCTTTCCAGACGTCCCAGGGTTTTCTCTCTTGGAGGCTGACCCGGCTTCCCCGGCTGCTGGGTGTGCGGGAGCGAAGGAGCACAGTGAGGGCGGCAGACAGGTCAAGAGCACGGAGTCTCCAGGTACAGAAAGGAGGACAGGACAGGGAGGTGCGACGGGGAGAAGGCAGTGCGCGAACAAACACAAAGTGCGGCGCCGCTGCTGGATGATCGCCCAGGGGAACCGCTCAGGCCGCAGGCAGGCCTCCTCGGCCCGGTTCTCGGTTCTCCGCGCGGGCCCAGCAGCTCGACTCTGCTCGCCTCTGAAGGCCGACTGCATCACCCCGACCCGGGCAGCGTGGCCAGCTTTTTCTTCCCGGACTCCTGCTCTGGTCGCCAGCTCTTCCTCCTTGAGGAGGTCGGGACGGGGCGCCGATTTCCCCTCCCCGGGGAGGGCATCCGGGAGGCTCCTAGTCAGGGCCCAGAGGATTACACGCTCCAGGGCGCTGCTCTCCTGGAGCCCACGAGACACGCACTCACAGAGCAACACGCGACCACCTACGCCCGTCGCTGCGCCAAGATCCCGGCGCCACACCCCCG